TTGTGAGGTGTAATATCCGAGGAAGGACAACTTACTGCAGAGAGAAAGGAAGCTCGCCTTAGAAAACCGTTCGAAAGTCGTCCTACTATACCACGCCGAACACCGACCTTTTCTTTCTCTCTTTTTCTCCCTCTCGCCACTTTAATTTCTTCTTTTTTTCTATTCCTTTGCGATGAGTTGCATTCAACATTTTTAGTTCATATTTGAAAGAGAGATAGAGAGGGTGAATAGAAGAAGAAAAAAAAAAAAAAAGAAAGAAAGAAAATATTACTTGTCAACCTTAATTGATTTTCAAGTGATTTTACTTCCTTCTGTTTTCTTTTTTTCTTCTCTTTTCAAATTAATCAAAATAATAAGAAAATTCTCTAACGTGTTTCTATCTTATCCTTAATCGAATTGCATTGTATTTTTATCATTTCATTCTATATTACATTATTTCTACAAATTATCCTCTACAATATAATTAAATAATACAAATTGAATGTATGTTGTGTATACCTTGATTATAAACATTTATATATTTGGTATGTTAAATAATGTGTTGATTCAAATTTTGAAATAACGAATTTTGATGAGCAGATGTAGAAAAGAATAAAAACATTTTCACGATCTGACGAAAGAGAGAAAGGAAACATATTTTCTTTTGGTATCCTACGATTTTTCTTCGTAAAGAAAAGGAACTGGAAATAAGAAATAGAGGAGTTTCGATTTTCGTACTTTTCCAAATAATGCCAACACGACACCTGGGTTGGTTGGTTGTTCTGTTGGTTGTTGGATGCTGAATGCACCGGGTCTAAAGCGAGAAAAATCGGAGATGTGGCTACGTACTTTGCGAGGAAACGAAGGATAACTGAAGAAAACGAAAGAGAAGGAGGATGAGGAGGAGGAGGGACAACGGGGTGGGGGTGGGGGCTGGGGGGGTTGTGGAAGAGGTTACAACGTAATGGTAGAGTAGAGAGAAACGTTGGGAGAAGTTTTACGCGAACGTGTATGTATATATAAATGTATGTACGTGTGTATGTGTTAAGAAGAGGGGGAGGTAAAGCACGCGGGTAAAGGGGGAAAAACGACTCGGAACTCGCGAGCCGTAGCGGTACTCGTTCTCTTCGCTGCCGTACAGAAAAAGAGAGGGAGAAAGAGAGAGAGAGAGAGAGAGAGAGGGAGAAAAAGAGAAGCTACCCACCTTGCCACGAAATCGAATAAATCGTCATTTCTCTCTCTCTCTCTCTCTCTCTCTCTCTCTCTTTCTCTTTCGTTTTCTTTCTTTCACTGATTCGATCAGTAAAGGTCATCGACTCGAATTAATTCCAAACAAGATATATATATATATATATATATATATATATATATATATATGTTGTGTGTATCATAAAATGTACTTGTCTCGTATTTTTATCTAATCTTTTATTAATCTAAAATTCATATCAAATATAATATTTGTATTTTTCTTTACTTATATAAAAATATCTTTTGTTTTTTTGTTTTGTAATCATTATTTTTCGTTCGTTCGTTCGTTCGTTCGTTCGTTAATTAGTTTGTTCGGTTAATAAGAAATCACGAAAAATATTATAAACGCAATTGGGAATCTTCTTCGTCGTCGTCTTCTTCGTCGTCGTAGTTTGTGAAATTCGTCGAAGACCTAGAGTATATTACTACTCTTAGCGATCGAGCGTTTCAGATAGGCCGGTGGTGGTAAAGAAAAGTCGTCGTAATATTTCACGGAGGGCGAACGAGGAAGTGTACCCGACTACTACGACTACGACGACGACGACGACGACGACGATGGAAGAGATGGTGTTGTACAGAAAGAGAGAGAGAGAGAGAGAGAGAGAGAGAGAGAAATAAGAGGAGAAAGAAGAGAGAAGTGAAGGAGGAGAAGGAGAAGGAGGAGGAAGAGAAGGAAAGGTTTGAAGGAAAAAGAGTGTGTGTGTGTGTGTGAGAGAGAGAGAGAAGTCGAAACGAACTCGGTTCTCGTTTCTATGCAGCGGTATTTGCTTGCCTTGCAACGAGGTATTTCAGAATAGTCATTATCACTAGTTCGCTTCCTCCTCATAATAGAAACTCGAATGGATCGCCTCAACTTTTGTTTTCTTCTTTCTTCCTCTTTCTTCCTTTATCTTTCTTTATTTTTTTCTTTCTTCATTTCTTCTCCCTTTTTTTTTTTCTTTCGAATCCTTTTCCTTCCATCTTTCTCTCTCTCTCTCTCTCTCTCTTTATCGCTGTTTTTTCCTATTTTATTTTTCATTTTCTTTCGAAAGATCGAAAAAAAACTATCATAGATACGTGTATATATATATATATATGTATGTATGTACATAGGATTATTGCTTAGAGTTATATCGATACCTGTAAATAGATGTAATTATTTAGGTATGTATATATGCGCAAATATTCGAACGACTTTTACGGTAATACATTATTGCATACCTCGTTAAAATCCTAAATATATATATATATATATATATATGTGTATATGTGTGTGTATTTGTAATATTTATATGGCTTACCTTTTAGCCAGAAATTCACGTTTTCTAACGTTCTTTCGTTTTGAAATATGATGGAAATATAAAAAGAACGATCGATGTCACGGGAGGATTATCTCTCTCTCTCTCTCTCTCTCTCTCTCTCTCTCTCTCTCTTTTTTTCTCTCTCTCACTCTTTCACTAACTATCTTTTTTCCTTTTTTCTTTTTTGCCTATTTGTATATCTATGATGTTTCTTTTTCGGATTCGTGAACGAATCCTACTAGCTACAGTTATATACATTTGTCAATTAAGCCCTATTTGAAAATATATCGCGGTAAAGCTGACCGTCAGTTGGAAAAGGTAAATACGTAAAGGTCCCTTACCGTTTCTACCCTTCTTCTCTTATACCTTTAACTCTCTTCCGGTTCTCTCACTCGTACCGGTACTACACGCTTACAAAGTTATGCTGGATTCCTCGTTAAATAACGGGAAGGTAAAAGAAGAAGAAGGAGGAGGAGGAGGAGGAGGAAGAGGAGAAGGATGAGGAGAAGGATGAGTAGAATATAAAAAAAAAAGAAAAAGAAAAAGTACAAAATAAATTCACGAGTTCACTAAGTTCGCTCTTACTCGTTCTCGTTCTAGTTCTCGTTCTCATATTTTGCTATCAAAGATGAAATGTCTTTCTAACTTTTCAATTAAATAGTGTCGACTAATGCATAACCAAGAAAAAAAAGAAACTGTACTTATAATAAAAGAAAAAAGAAAAACAATATAATTTAAATACAACAGAAAGGATAAATAGATAGATAGATATATTATATCCTATATAAATACAGTATATAATATTATATATTTTAAATATATTTGTCTCGAATGATATTTTCTTTCGGGGCGTGGGTGGGTTGGTGGGTGGGAGGGGGGCGTGGTTTGGGAAATATTTTTTCATCGACGATTACAATCGTCAGATTTTTAACGGATAACTCGATTCAAATGGAGCACAAAACCACCGAAGAACTGTATTTCGATTAATCGTGAATCACGATAAAAGTTCCACTTTCGATTTTCCATTCGAACGAATAAATTGAAACCAAAATGCACGGCGCTAAAGCTCGGGCAGAGAACGATCTCGATATTCCCGATTTTCAATGGATCGATGTTAGAGAGTCTAAAGCACATTGTCATGATATACATATGGATATATACATACATACACAACACATACATATAAATATATAAGCATATACATACACCTATATATATATAAATACGTAACCATAGATATACACCTACACACAAATATCTCTATATATATGCTAAGTGTAGGTGTATAAATATATAAATACACGTACTTATATAGATATTTACATATACACGTATACATACATATATCGATACGCGTGGCAAACTAACATAGAAAACGAAAGAGAAAGAGAAAGACGCCTGCCTTACCGCTTTCAAATATAACCCCGTCGAGCATCCATAACAAACCCTTCCTATCTCCCATTAAATCAAACGCAAACCGCCCGGCGAGCCGACAGTTCATTTAACCCGCCCCCTTCCGTGGCGGTGCTCGGCGACCACCCCACCCTCTACCCTTTTCCCCCACTCTCACCCTTTCTCTCTCTCTTTCTCTCTCTTTCGAATCATCCGTTCGTCAGAAGCTCGACGCCGTCGTCGTGTGTTCTTCCACCCTCTCGTGACGTGCTCGATTTCGTTCAGAATGAAACAAAAGAAAGAAAGAAAAAAAAAAGAGAAATAAAGAGAGAGAAAGAGAGAGAGAGAATTAGACTGGAAGGATAAGTATTATACGTACAACCACTCCACTTCGATGTGCTTTCTCATCGCTAACATAAGAATAAAACACGTCTCTACGGTGCTTACGATTAGTCGCGATTTAAAGGAACTGTTACTATATTTTCTTCGGGAGTGTTACTTCGAGAAATCATATTTCTACCTATATATATATATATATGTATGTATGTATTTCTTATATATAGAAAAAGAAAATATATATAGAGAGAGAGAGAGAGAGAGAGAACGAAGGACGTACGGTGAGTTTAAGCGCCGTTGGAAAATAAGAAGTTAGGGGAAGAAGCAAGGAGGGAGGGGGGAAGAGAAGAAGCAGAAGGCGGGGGGTGGAGGATGAGGATGAGGATGAGGATGAGGATGAGGAGGAAGGAGGAAAGAGAAGCGCGCTTCGAGGTGGACGCGATGTGCGCACAGAAAAGAAAAAGAGAGATAGAAAAAGAAATAAAGAAGAAGAAGAAGGAACGAACGAACATAGAGGGAAAGGCGGAGGAGGAGGAGGAGGAGGTGGAGAAAAAGGAAGAAGAGGAGGAAAAGGAGGAAAGAGGAAGGATGATATGAGTGGCGGGGGACTGGGGAGGGTGACGAAGAGAGTAACGAAGAGTGGTAGGGGGAGCAGGGCAGGAGAAGGGGTATGGGTAGGGATAGGGAGGGGGAAACTCGGAACTCGTGTCGTAGCGGTGCGACGGTCGGTCGGGTATCTTCGTGTCGTGAGCCACACGCTCGGCCGATATCGGCTCGCATACGCGCTCAGTCGTACTCGAGCCTTGCTCGCGTATGGACGTTTGTCTTCTTTTCGTATCTCTACTGAGTAAAAAAAAAAAAAAAGAAAAGAATACTTTGGGTGAAATATTTGGCACATAGTAGTAGTTTATATAGAGTTCATCAGTCAGTCAGTCAGTCAGTTAGTCAGCAGCGCTTACTCGTTGTGCGTATTATCACCGAGAAAACACTTTTCACTAAATTTTCTCTTATATTATATTTTGATCCTTTCGATTAATCGGATTGATCATTAGATTTGTTATTGTTGTTTTAATTTTATTCATTTTCGTATCGAATTAAAAACGATACGATACGGTACGGTAGTACTACGTTACCTTACGGTATATATAATACGTGTGGTAAAGGTGCATAAAGGTTTTTTTTTTTGAAATATCAGACAGATCGTAATTAATAATCTACGTGGGTGTTGTTATCCGTAAATAAAGAAGAAACGAAGAGGAAGAAAAAAAAAACTAAGAAAATAAGGATTAAAAAATTGGAAGAGGTTCGGTTTGGACAGTGTCGTTTCTGTTCTACTATTATACTATTACTACTACAACATAGTATTAACAGCGGTCTCGAGTAACAGTGATAATCACGGACCGCTTTAAACGGTGCGCGAGTGACGCTCTCGATCCTAACGTGTTCCGATTAACTTCGTTCCGTTACGCGTATTCCCTCGAGTGTGCGCTCCACAATATATATATATATATATATATATATATATACATATACTATATAAAACGAGAGAACTCGCGGGAGTAGAAAAGAGGAACAAAGAACAACGACGTGCCTACTATTAACTATTACTATCTTTTACGCTACTACTACTACTCCTTTGTGTATATCTTTTTCTCTCTGCTCAGTGTATATAAGAAAGGATAAAGAAAACAAGAAGAAGAAATAAATAGTGAAAAAAAAAAAAGTAAAAGAAGGAAAAGAAATAGGTAGCAAGAAAGGGAGAGGATTTCGTCGTCGTTATATCCTTCCTTCTATCTTTCAATATAACTATTCTTTCCCTCCAACTGTACTTCGTCTTCTAGTTTCAACTCTACTTTTCGCAAAGAGAAATAATAATACATAGCAGCAACAGTAGCAGTTGCAGTAGCAGTAACAGCAGCAGCAAAAGAAGAAGAAGAAGAAGAAACAGCAGCATCAACAACACCATAGGCATCATCGTTGTTCGTGTCATTTGTATCTTTGTAACGTCAGACGACGAAACAGCGACGACGACGACGACGACGACATCATCGAATTGTTTCTTGAGGTAAAGTGATTTTCTTTTCTTTTCTTTTCTTTTTTGAAATGACGTCACACGAGAGTGTGAGAGAGAGAGAGAACATACGTCAAGTTGAGCAACCTCCGACCACGTACGCCACCGAGTACCGTGTCTGATCCACCACCCCATTTTCCTCCTTCCCGCCCCCATCATCACCCCCCACCCCCACCCGTTCCCGCTATCCTCGATCGCACGTACGCACTCTCGTCATGTCGTCTACACACATATACACACGAATATATGTATAATACTATCATTTAATCTATCCTCATCTTTCTACCTACATATATATATATATATATATATATTTTTTTTTTTATTTTCCTCTTTCTTTCATTATATTTCTTTCGTTTTCCTTTTTTTCTGTCTTCTCTCACACACACGTGCGATAAGAATAACGATATTACGTGTTAGATGCGACACGTCGATGGATAGCGCATAATCTGGATAATGCGTTGCTGTTCGATTTTTATATGCGAATACCTATATTACGTATATTAACTCATATATATTTGATTAGTATGTGCATATATAAAATTGTATAAATGTAGGGTATGATATCTTCTTTTGCTTATTCTTACGCGTTTAATGCAGAAAACTAAGAATTTTATCTTAAAAAAACAATAAACGGATAGATTTGTATTGTATCTTTATCTATTGATCTGTGTATGTATATATATAATTATGATCGCGTGACACGTAAGCATGTTATCTTGGAAACACAACTTTAGCAATCGATGATAGGGCATATCGCGGAAATGAACAATCTAGTCGATCGGATTTCGAAATACATAATAATAATCTTTTCGATTAAATTAAAAATCTATTTGGAGAGAGAGAGAGAAAGAGAAAGTATTATAATGTAATACTTCAAAAATATTTTTCTTTTTCTTGTTGATTTCTCTTTTTTTATTATTTTTTTTTTTTTTTTCGAGACTCATTATATGATCTTATGCGTAACATTGTGTGTTACATGTTTATTACGCAGATACCCTATTTACATACATTGATTTGGTGGTATTAACAAGAAGATATCTCTAAATCACTCAACACTATTCGATTTATCACGTCTAGCGTCTGCTTAGGGAATGCCATTAGGCGGATTGCTCTGGTGCTATCGATTTTCTACGCTTTATGCATCGGCCTTCTCTGGAACGTGCGATCTTTGTAAATCCCATATACATACTCTCTTGTTCTCTCTCTCTCTTAAAATCTCTCTCTTTATCTTTCTTCTCTAATTTTCGCTTTCTCTCAAACGCTACTCTACCTTTGATCTTTATACGCGTGTTCTTATTTCTTTGTCAAACTTAACGCGATAATAAAGTTGTAAGGCACGCGAAACCCCCGACATATCTGTATATACATTATTATTATAATTATTTCTTTCATGCGTACGTGTGAATATGTGTAGTATATGTGTGTGTATGTGTGGGTGGGTGGGTAAATGTAAATGTGTATGTATGTATGTATGAACGTCCGGTTGTGTGAAATTTTATTTTTATCGAACGTAAGCAAGATAGATGACGCGTACGATATGTGTTTCACGTTCATCTTTCGTGTTCCTCGAAAGAGAATCTCTCCGATTCCTTCTCCTGGTTAAATTCTGACGTCATCTTTGTTATCTTGTAAAACAGCTTATATATACGTTTCTTATTCTTATCTAGCTTGTATTATTTCTTTACGTTCGATTTTCGGAATATTCGTAATATATATATTGTTAATTCGTTTAAAATTTAATTATTCTATTGCATTTTCGATGAATCACATACAGATTTATTTTATTTATTTTATTTTATTTTATTTTATAAATTTTATTTTATTTATTGATCTAGATTAATTTGTTTATCATAGTATCTCCATTTAACGATTGACGTAAACGCAAAAATAAAAAATAATAATGTTTAGTCTATCGGTTTTTAAATGAACGATGTTAATAAAGACTTCTTACAGTTTTATTATATTGGTAGAAAATAAATATAGAGAGGATTGAGTAGTGAATAATTAAGAAATTTTCTCGAAAGAGCCAATCAGGAGTTTAAACTGTAACGAGAAATACACGACTGAAAGCAGAATTTCTCCGCAATTTTCTACGGAAAATCTATACTATATGTACACTGATTTTACGTTGTAGAACGTTGTGAACATGGTACATATATATATATATATATGTAACATGTACCAGTGTGTTAGTATTAGAAAGAGCGTTCGTATAACGACAGTTCTTGAACTTCACACGAATTCGATATCGAAGTTGAAAGGGAAGTTCGGGCCCTCGTAACCGTTCGTTCCCTTCGTTAACCTAACGCGAAAGCTTCGATCGTGCGTTAGTGCATATGTCAAACTCGGAACAGACTCGTTCGACCTTTGGAATCAAAAAAGATTTTCACTATTTTTCAAATACCTTAATAAATTCGAAAAATAAATTTATTGGGTTGGGGGGAGTTTTTTTTTGGGGAAAATTAATATTTCTTTACTATGAAAAAAAGTAATTTTTTTCGAAGGAATTAAATAAAGGAAATAGAAAAATATTGCTGCGATAAAAAAAAATCAAGATGGCCAACGCATTGGAAATTTTTCTCTATGAAATAAATAGAATGATTAAAATATTTATTTACGGACATTTATAATAGAATAATAAACGTTTTCTTTTTTTTTCTTATTTTTTTTTTTTTATTACGTTGTTTAAAAAGTCAAGGATAATAACGATCAATCAAATTCGCTTTGTTAAATCTATAAAATGATAAAACATTATATATATATTCAAGAGTTAAACATTATATTTCTACAATTTTATCTTACTTTATATTTTCTATATAGAAATAGATTTTCTTGTTTGAATTATTCACAAAAAATACTATGATATGTATGTATGTACATGCACACGATATAACGAATTTCTATTCGAGTAAGGTTAAGTCGAAAACAAGATAATCGATAAGACGTGTTTTGAAGTGTAATGAAATCCTCTTCTTCGTTGAAGAAAAAGTTAACACTCGTTACGCCATTTTCTTGTCACGTGACCATTCACCGATAAATCTTTACAAAGTATTTACGTATCACACGCAACACACACACACACATATATATATCTATCCCTCATACGTACATGTATCTGTTGAATAGTTATCACATAAACGGGACTTTAGAATTGTCAATAAAATGACGGAGAATCTTTTATATCTAACAACTTCGTTGATAAAGAAAACATTAATAAATGAAAATACTAAAATCGATTAAAATATAAATGCATATTTACGATTTGATTTATTTTACCCGATCGTGACCAGGAATGAATTTTCACTCATTTCCTTCCTTCGTTTCAAATATTTCAAGAAAAAGTATTAAGAACATTTCTAAACATTTTTCCTTTTTCTTTTTTCTTTTCCTTTTTCTTTTTCTTTTTTCCTTTAGTCTTTTAAGTATTTTCCAGCAACCGATGCATCCATCGATGTTGCAAAAAGAAAACCAAAGAATAAAGTATATATATATATATAAAAAGAAAAAAAGGAAAACCCGTTAGAAATTATCCGAAGTTGCATGCACGCTCATGCATGTATGTATGTATGTATATGTACGTATGTAAGTACGTGTGTATGTGCAAGAGAGAACACTATAATCTTTGGCGGTTCTTTTTCTCCTGTTCCTCCTCCTCCACCTCCCCCACACCCCCTACCCTTACTCCTACCCCTACCCTTGCACACCCCTTTCCACCTCATCCTCTTACTCTGATACTCCTCCTCGTCGAGTTACGAAGTCAGGCGAGCACTGCGATGAAAGAAGAACGGCGGCCGCGTGAAAGTAAAGAAAGTGGGCCGCACGAAGTAGTCTTCAAGCTACAACAAGCAGACACAGACACAGATATCAGGCATAGGCACACACCATCTTTTTCCTCTTCTTGCCAAAGAGATTCTCCTCTTCCCCCCTTACCCCCC